TTTATGAGTCCATTTTACATCATCTAGATTCAAACTTTTAAATAATGACAAAGCGAGCACATAGCTCACCAGTAATTGGCATATGCCTCCCACCAAGATGTAAAAAAGAAACTTTTAAGTAATAAGAAAGTAGATTATGGGTTTTTTGTTTTAGCTTTTTTGAGTTTCATTGATTTAGACTTCTAATTTCTAAATACATATACATATATATATAATAATATGTGTTAAATAGATGAGCGTATTTTGAATTTAATATTTCTGCTCTCTACTTATAGAATACCAATTCAATAAAAAGAAATATGTAATAATTTAAAAATCGTCGAATTAAGCATTTTTTTTTTTTGAAACATATTCACTTCATTTGGTTTTTTTTTTTCCATTTTAAACATGGACAATTTAAGCACAAAGTCCGTTTTAACTTCATTACGCGTCTTTCAAAAACTTACCAAAATTACACAAAATAAATAAATAATATAAATAAATAAAAATAGCTAGTCTAAGAGGGGATGGAGTTGGTGAGGGTATTTTTGAAATTTTGTTTTAAGACCAGGATACCGACCCATAAGTTACTTTAAATATTTGTTTCTCTATTTTTTATTCAATAGGAATAAAATAAGTAATAATTTTAAAAGTTTTTTGAGTTCGAACACCACCTCTATTATGTTGTCCTAAGAAAAAGTTTTCTTAACTCAATAATTACCCATTATGAAAACCATTCATCAATTTTTGGAATGGTGAGGCATTGATAATAATTATTTTAAAGTAATATGGTGTAAAACCACTACTTTTGAAAATAAAGTAAAACAATTCTACATAACTTTATTGCAATTTTTTTTATTCTCAATGTGTCAAAAAAAAAAATGAAAACGATAATGTTGCAGATGTATGGAACATTTACAAATAGATATATACAGTATTGATGGCGACATCAAACGGTGGAGGGAACTTTTTAACGGAATCAAATCAAAGAATATCGAGATCAGTTCACATTGATGAATCATGATTATAGTATACAAAAGAATCCTCCAATATTCTTTTTGCTCGTTTGATCTACTAATGTCAGTAGGTCCCATTTTATCTTTTGAATGCAAATGGCTGACTCGGGTTCCACCATTTAAAGTGAAAAAGAAAATTTTACCTTACATATAAATATCTTATTTTAATCCATAACATTCCCTAAAAATAATCCTTAATTTGTCTTTTTTTTAATAAAAACATAAAAAGAAACCTATTTTGTTTTTCTTCTTAAAAATACAATACATTTTGTCGAATTATCCCACAAAGAACAATTTAAATTTATTTAAAGTAATAAAATTAGAACTTCATGAATCCATTAATTAGTTTCTTAGAATCAATAATTTATACCCAGAAGATTTATAAAATTTCAAAAGTTTAAAAATATATTAAACATAATTTTAAAACTTCATAGATAAACTTGTAGTTTAACGATAGATGGTGTATGTATATATATATTTTTGGTTCGAATATTTGTTATGGTAAATTTTGTTAGTAATGTAATAGTTTTAGGAAAGACAACTTAGACCATATCACGAGAACGCTTAAAAGAGTTCGCATCAGTTAAATAGTCCACCTGGCGCAATCGGCTACGTGGAAAGTTGTGATAATCTGACAATGAGCCACATTTACCTCCAAGATGTGATAGTCTCTCGGTGAAACACGTGTCACGTCAAAAACACATCTAGAGATGCAGGTCTGTCATGCAGGTAGAAGAGCTGATAAGTAACTATACGCTGGCATGACTCATTATGTGATTCACTTGTAAAGTAATGACTATATGTGGTGAAGTTTAGAGTATGATAATAGATCACCAACTCACATGATTGTTTCACGTGGTTATTGTTGTGCTACTCACTAAAGCCATATATTATTTGGCATGAAAATTAGGAGCTAAAGAAAAAAATTTCTATGAATAAATATTAGAGAATGGATTAGAAGGGAAGAAGTCCATGTAACATCCGTCCTTCGCTTAAAATAGAGAAATATTAATAAATAATAAAAAAATTGAAAGTGTAGATGACAACTAGCAATCACTTGAAATATATATATATATATATATATATATATATATATATAAAAGAAAGAAGGAAAATACATGGCTTTTAAAGGGAAGTTTTTGGGAGAATAAAGAAATAAGAATAAATAAGAGATGAGTCTTGTGGGGAGTAAAGGAAGGAAGAAAGAGAGAGAGAAAAAGGAAGGAAAAAATAAAATAAAAAACGAGAAGGGAGAAAGAAAAGAAGAATAAGAAGAGAAAATGAGGAAGATAAGAAGGAAGAGGAGCAATAAGGCCGTGTTGTCGTGGAAAACGGTATAGGTAACATCGAAAAAGATTCAAAGGAGGCTTATAGGCAAACACTCCAAGCTTTGGTAAGCCGATTTCAACTTTCGGAGGTTGTTTCCAAGCAAAATAATTATGGATTTTTTTTCTTTTGGGACAAATAAGTTTCTATGGATACTTAATTTTGTGTATTTTTATTTTGTAATAAAGTTTTAAGGACAACGAAGAGAAATTCTAGCCTTCATAGTGAACCTAATTTGATGTTCTATGTGAAAGAAGAAGATTTGATTGAGCAAAGGAATGGTTCACAATATGATGGATTTAGTAAATTGTAGTCTTGGTTGATTGAAATGAATTGAAAAGGAATAAAAATGATGGGTATTTAGTGTGGAATATTATAGAGAAAAAAATAGAAGAAAAATATGGAAGAAGATGGCTATTTTGGTGGGTTGATCGAAGAAGATGAGAAGAAAGTTAATAATGAAAGGAAGAAAATTAGGTAATTAATTTTACATGAGGTACAAGTGAGTGGTATTTTCAATTGAAGAAAGATATTTCTTGGGTTATATTCAAAGGATCAAAGTTGGTTTGATGATATGAAAATGATGTTTATGTTTATCTCTTATCCTCCTCTATCAAATGGTGTTAATTTGGATGGTAAAAACATTGGTGTTCATCTTCGTCGGATTATAAAGAAAATACTTGCATCCACAACAATGATGAAACTTTGTCCTCCTTACCGTTAGATGTTTAGCAACTAAGAGAGAAAAATGCAAAACCAATATTATTTTAAAATAATAGTGAGTTGTCAACCATCTAATCGAAGACAAGACAAGATTCCTCCTTATCATTGAGGAGAAAGTGTTTTCCTATGAATGACTCAAGAACCCTTATTTGAAGACTGAAGAATCCTCTACCTTTGTAATATCAGGTACACAAATTAGTATACCTCAAATTTCAAATAGGGATGGTAAAAAAAAACCAACGGGACCCGATCCCCGCGAATACTCGACTCGATCGGATTGAGGAATCTCCTGTTTGACCGGGGACGGGGTCAAACTAGGGATCCCAGCTGGTACGGGACGGGGGAGGGGGAGAATTCCCCCGCCCCGTTTAATATTTTATTACTTTTTATATTTTTTTATATAATAATATTAATATATATTAATTTTATAAATACTTTTTAGCTTAAAAAAACTCAAGTTAATATCTATTTAACCACTTTTTAATAACAAAAATTAATTAAAAAACTAAAATTAAAAATTAAAAAAATATATTTAAAACCGGGAAGGGTTCCTTAGGGGAGAATCCCCTAACCCGACCCGTTGTTGTCTCTAATTTAAATTGAATTTCATTGTTTCATACCACATGCTTTTAAATTATTATATTTGAAATCTAATCCTATATTTATTTATAGATCAAAATGGTCGGATTTTACAAGATTTCATAAAATTTCAAAATGAATTACCTATTTAATATTCACATTTTAATTTTTAATTAATAAATTTAAATTAAAAACTCAAATAAGTAAAATTTTTATTTTCTTTTCATCTACCATAACATCCAAGCAAACAAGGTGGATGCATGGAATGGCACGTTCCCCCTTGAATTTTAAATAAATATAACATATAGTATAGATATTAGAGACGTTGTTTGCTCCCGGTGGTCCTTCTATATGTGATTACGTACCCTAGCCTCAACCCCCTCCGTTCGGCAAGCACCTTCTATTTTGTTTTGGTTTTTTATTTTTAAATGCATCTTTGTTGATCCTTTTTTTTTTCTTCTTTTCTTTAGGCTGCGTCTTAGGTTCGAATCACAGCTAGCGTATCTTTTATTTAAGTGTAACTTTTTTTTTCTCTTTTAACGTATTTATTATTTTCTTTTTCTTTTTATTTGTTATTTTCAGGCATCTTTATTATTATTTTTTTTCTTTTTAGCACTATTTTTATTGCATCTTTTTATTTTTTAAAATATAATTTATTATGATGTATTTAAATCTCAAATCTATTTTTATTTTTGAATATTGCTTTTTTTTAAAAAAATTATTTTTCAGTTAATATAAATAATTTGTCTAATTAAGTTTTTTTTAATTTTAAAATCATAATTCTAAATTTATATAAACGTCATAATTTTTTATCCTTCATTGGATAAAAAAAATCTACAAAATCTCACTAATTAATAAAAATAGAGTTTCTCAAATTAAATTTGATTAATAGTTAATACACAAGACCTATTATTAAATAATCCCACTAAAACTTATAAATTTGAGCTGAAAACAGGTAGGGCTAGAAAAAACAACTATATCATAGTTTTTTTTTTTCTAATTGATTTCAAATCATTCTCGTTCCAAAAAAGATAAGAAATTTAAAATAATTTTGTCAACCAGAATGGAGGATAAAAAAGTAAACATGGGAGGATTTTTTTTATATGTTACGAAATATCTTCAATTAACATTTGCATGCACATATGATATGACCAAAAGAGAATATGATTACCTGGAGGGTTAATTAGTAATTTGCAAATGGTGCAGATATATACGGTATTATTGAACATTTTGATGGCGACATCAAACTTTGAAGGTAGCTTTTTGAAGGGATTAAAATCAAAGAATATCTCAAGACAGTACACAGGTCTAAGTTGCTATATATGGGAGACCCATTTTTTGCTTGCAAAACAAGCAAATTAATTTAAAGCCCACGGATGATTATTGATTTCTCCCCAGACACGGTCTGTTTGGATTCCGAGAAAGTGAAATTTAAAGCCCACCGTTTGAGCTCTCCCCGTCACGGTCTGTTTGGATTCCGGGAAAGTTCAAATTAAAAAAGAAAAGAAGGCCGGAGCCCAGTGATGGGAAGGAGATCAGGGAAGAAGAATTCAATAGCGTCGATTTTTTCGCACGCTGACGCCGTGGACAAGCTTCTCATGGCGTTGGGGCTCATCGGAGCCATTGGCGATGGCTTCACGGGCCCCTTGATCTTAGTTCTCACCAGCCGTCTTATGAACGGCATCGGATTCGTCTCACACTCTTCTTTACCTTCTTTCCAAACCCATATCAATGAGGTATTTACTGACTTTAAAAACGGTTAACTCTACGGACTCTATCTTCGTTTTTATGGCTTGATTTTTGTTCGGGAGACAGAATACTGTGGCTGTACTCTACGTAGCGTGCGGAGCATTTGTTGCGTCTTTTCTCGGTGGGTTTCGTCGATTCATTTGAATAATTAACTAAAGTTGGCATTTCAATATCTCATATCATCTCTATTTTGTGAGGGATATATATTTTGCAGAAGGATATTGCTGGACAAGGACGGCCGAGAGACAGGCGGCCAGAATGAGAGTTGAGTATCTGAAGGCAGTTCTCCGACAAGAAGTCGGCTATTTTGATCTCCACGTCCGAGGTTATCACATCTGTCTCTAACGACAGCTTGGTCATTCAAGACGTTTTAAGCGAAAAGGTAACTTTTTTTTTCCTCCATTAATTTCTCAATGAAACTTCACACTAATTTTGATCAAATCTGAAACTTCAAACTAATTTTGCTTTTCTGGAAACAAAACAAATAACCCAGATCCCAAACTTTGTAATGAATGCGGCAACGTTCATCGGGTGCTGCATCGTTGCCGTTGCTTTATTCTGGAAACTAGCGGTCGCAGGATTACCATTTGTGACGATTCTGCTGATCCCGGGGGTGCTCTATGGTAGAATCCTAACAGGGTTAAAGAGAAAGAGCAGAGAATGTTACCAAAAGGACGGAACAGTGGCGGAACAGGTCATATCCTCCGTCAGAACCGTCTACGCCTTCGTGGGAGAAGACTATCAGAATATTCAACTGCATTAGGAAGTATGGTAAAGCTGGGGTTAAAACAGGGACTTTCTAAAGGATTGGCCATTGGAAGTAATGGAATTTCATTTGCAATATGGTCCTTCATAGCGTGGTACGGTAGTAGAATGGTGATGCACCATGGCGCTCAAGGTGGGACGGTGTTTGCAGTCGGAGCTGCCATTGTTTTAGGTGGAACGTAAGTTTCATCATCTCCCTCTAATTAAATTACTAATTTCATTTCTTCTCTTTTTCCCTTTGCTTTCATTTAAATTTATTCACTATTCATTTTTAAACAACATATCAGGTCTAATTAATGATTAAATTTTCACATATATGGAATGTAATCTCAGCTTTACCAAACCATATCATTCTATTAATTAAGAATCTTCAAATTCAAATAAATGATTAATCTAAAACAATGATTATTATGTTAAAAAGAACAGCTGCGGTAGGCAGATCATGTTTGATTCTTTTTCCTTTTTTGGAAAGACATGCATATTTGATTTGATTCTCTTCTCCCCTATAATCCTATTAATACCTATATATGCCTTTTTTAAAAAGGAAAATTTTTCTCATTCATTTTATATGTAAAAAAAAATGTAAGGATATACAGTTAGGAGATTCATGTTTATATGAAAAGTATTATATTCTTTAGTATATACCGAATGTTTGTAGTGCTATTCTATAGTGTTTACGTCATGGTTCTTTTGATAAATGATTTACTTAATATTTATAGACTCCATTTACTTAATATTAATAATATTAAGGTAGGGTAATTATATGAGAGCAGTGTTTAAAGTTTTCTCCAATATAATCGATAGTTTAATGGAATATTCTATTCTCATTATGTTTTTGTTTAGTTTGGTCAAATGGTATTAATATGTTGATTCAGTACACATTTTTTTTGGGGTTAACCTTCGTTTTAATTATTAAAAATTAATCTAAATCGATTAGGGCAAATAGGACATGAACAAAATATTGGATTTTGGGCTTTTAATATACTATTATCATACTATGACAGATCCATTGGATCAAGTTTATCGAACCTAGACTACTTTTCGGAGGCGTGTACTGCGGGAGAGCGCATCATAGAGGTGATAAATCGAATTCCGGAGATCGACTCCGAGAACCTGGAAGGTGAAGTTCTGGACGAAGTCTCCGGCGAGGTCGAATTTCAGAACGTGCAGTTTGCGTACCCATCGCGACCGGAAACCATGGTGTTCAACAACCTGACCTTGAGAATCCCGGCGGGGGGGACGATGGCGCTGGTCGGCGGGAGCGGCTCCGGAAAATCGACGGTGATTTCTTTGTTGCAGAGATTTTACAACCCAATTGGAGGGGCGATCCTCGTCGACGGAGTGGGCATTGAAAAGCTGCAGCTGAAGTGGCTGAGGTCACAGATTGGTCTGGTGAGCCAGGAGCCGGCGCTTTTCGCCACCTCCATTAAAGAAAATATTCTTTTTGGGAAGGAAGATGCCACCATGGACGAGGTGATAGACGCAGCTAAAGCTTCCAATGCTCATAATTTTATTTCTCAATTTCCACAAGGATACGAAACCCAAGTAACTACTAAGATTATAATCCTTTTCTCATATTTTTTTTGGGTTAAATTATTCATCATTTCAAAATTTTCTATAATCATAACTTTAAAGAAAACGTGATCAGACATTTAAAACTATTGGTTTTTTTGTTTGTGTGAATGTACCTTTTTTTTTAGTGTTGGATAGCCAATTTACTTTCTTTAATTATAAAATTAGTGGGTTTTTTTCCTTAAAAAATTAGTGGGTTCGAGTTGTTCTTTTAAATTCAAGAAACTAAAGGAATAAAAATTTGACTATAAGTTTTTCAAAACTTCATCAAATAATATATATAATTACTTTTATAAAGTATACTTTAAATGAGTTGTTGTTTTGTTTGTTGTTTTTTGTTTTTGTTCTTTCAGTAAAGAATGGACCGAAGGAAATGTAGAATTTTTAATGAATTCTTTTTAGAAAAATTATTCATTCATAAAATAATGAGAATGGTCACTTCCCTACCACTAGGGGTGACTCACTTTTATATGGGGTGAAATACATGATTGCTTTTGTCAATAGACTTCCAAATTAACATTATTTCTTTGATCAAAAGAACCTTTGGATCAACAAGATTCCTATACTAAAGTTGAGATTGTTTGTTCTTTTATTTTGACTAAAACTTTTTCAAAAACATCCCAGAATGAATTAAGAGATGAGGTAAATTTTTGGACCAAATAATATATTTAATTACTTTTATAAAGTATACTTTAAATGGGTTGTCGTTGTTTTGTTTTTTTGTTTTTTTTCATAGTAAAAATGGACTGACTTCTATGAAAGAAAATGTAGATTTTTTAATGAATTGTCTTTTTAGAAAATTTATTCATTCATGAAATAATGAGAATGGTCACTTTCCTAAAATTTGGGGTGATTAACTTTTTTATTGAGTGAAATACATAATTGTTTTCGTCAATATGCTTTCCAAATTAACATTCTTTTTTTTGGAAAGAACCTTTACATCAACAAGATTCCTGTATTAAAGTGGAGATTGTTTGTTCCTTTATTTTGACTAAAACTTCTTCAAAACATCACGGAATGAATTAAGAGATGTGGTAATATATTTAAGTACTTTTATAAAGTAAATTTTAAAGAAAATGTAGATTTTTTAATGATTTAGATTTTTTGAAAAATTATTCAATCATGAAATAATGAGAATGATATCTTTCCTAAAAGTAGGGGTGGTCGTTGGTGATTCACTTTTATATGGAATGAAATACATTATTGCTTTTGTTACTATGCTTTTCAAATTAACATTTTTTTCTTTTGAAAAGAACCTCTAGAACAACAAGATTCCTATATTAAAGTTCCTTTATTTCCACCAATTGGCCAAGCCCATTATATATAAAAAAAAAAGTCATGGTTATTAACTTTTTAGTTTTATTAAAAGATAGAAAAATATCGTTGTGAACTAATTGTTCTATAAGTCCGGTCCCACATCTTTTTCTTTACATTCTTCTTCTCACTATTCCTTCTATGATTTCTATTCAAGGATTATAAATTCACAATATTAACAAACATTACTAATCACAATCTCAAAACCTTTTTCATTTAGATTTTATTTAAAAAATTATTATAATAAACGTAAGACACCAACCATTTTATTCTTATCTTGAAATTATTAATCTACGGGGTGTGAACAAGGTGAGTTGTGACATGTTTGATTTTTCTATACCTTCTTTGCACAAAGACGACCATTATGTTCATTGTTTAGTTTAATCATTGTGGTTCTTAAAGGATTGAATTTGGGTAAATTAGTGTGTGGAGTTTTAATCAGGTGGGAGAAAGGGGAGTTCAATTGTCGGGAGGACAAAAGCAAAGAATAGCAATTGCACGAGCGATCATCAAGCGACCGCGGATCCTCCTCCTTGACGAGGCCACGAGTGCGTTGGACTCAGAATCGGAGCGGATCGTCCAAAAAGCCCTTGATGAAGCAGCCATCGGTCGAACCACCACCATCATCGCTCATCGCCTTTCAACCGTTCGCAACGCCGACATCATCACCGTGTTCCAAAACGGCCACGTCATGGAAATGGGCTCACACGACGAGCTCATCCAGCATAAAACCAGTCTCTACACCTCTTTGGTGCGCCACCAGCAAATGGAGAAACACGAATCCCGACCGGCTTCCATTCCCAACATGGACGAGAACAGCAGCAGCCGCCCAATCTCGCTCGTGAGTCGATCCAGCTCCCCCAACTCGACGGTTCTAGATGCAGGCAAGGAAGACCGATCAGTCCCTTCGATCTGGAGGTTGTTGGCCCTAAATCTCCCCGAGTGGAAGCAGGCGATCATGGGGTGCACTGGGGCGGTTTTGTTCGGAGCGGTCCAGCCTTTGTATGCCTTTGCGCTTGGGATGATGGTGTCGGTTTATTTTTTGACGAGTCACGAGGAGATTAAGGAGAAGACAAGAATTTATGCACTAGGTTTTGTTGGGCTTGCAGTGTTTTCTATCGTGACAAACATTGTTCAACATTATAACTTTGCATACATGGGGGAGTATCTGACCAAGAGAGTCAGGGAGATGATGTTGTCCAAGATCCTTACTTTCGAAATTGGGTGGTTTGATCAAGATGAACACTCCAGTGGTGCAATTTGTTCGAGATTGTCTACCAATGACAATGTGGTAAGTTAAGAATATTAATTATTCAATTCAATTGACTTTTGCCCTATCTTTTTTCTTTTGCTTGTCTGATGCGCTACTTATTATCATACATTTTTGTTGGCGTAGGTGCGATCGTTGGTGGGTGATAGAATGACACTTCTTCTGCAAACCCTATCATCAATAACCATAGCTTTCACAATGGGGTTGGTGATCTCATGGAAGCTAGCCCTCGTCATGATCGCAGTTCAACCCCTATTAATCATTTGCATCTATGCTAGGCGTGTCCTTCTGAAGAACATGTCTGACAAATCCAAAAAAGCCCAAGAACAGAGCACCAAGGTGGCTGCTGAAGCAGTTTCCAATGTACGCACAATCACCGCCTTCTCTTCACAAGAAAGGATCCTCAAAATGCTTGAGAAGGCTCAGGAGAGTCCACGAAGAGAAAATATCAAGCAGTCGTGGTATGCCGGAATTGGACTAGGCTGGAGTCTCAGTGCCTGCTCCTATGCTCTCCCCTTCTGGTACGGCAGCAAGCTCGTCGCCCAAGGCCAAACAACCGCCAAGGCCCTCTTCCAAACCTTCCATATCCTCATCAGCACTGGACGTGTCATTGCCAACGCC